TAGTCTCTTCACATTTCTTGTGGGCTCCTTCAGGTACTGCAAGGCTGCAGTTAGGTCACCCTGAACCATTCTCCTCTCCAGGCTGAACAATCCCAATTGTCTCAGCCCTTCCTCATAGCAGAGGTTCTTCATCCCTCTGATCATCCTGCTGTCTCCTCTGGACTCACTCCAACAGGTCCATGTCCTTCCCCGGTGCACAGACAGATGTGGCTTATGTCACGACTCTATAGGAAGATGCCATCACCTCTTAGACTATTCCAGTAAAGCATGGGTGACCCTTTGAGACACCTGCCTCTCTTTGACCCCTTTTGAATTGCTATCCAGTTTCAAACAGAGATTAATGAACCATGAGGCTGTCCCAGGGGCTGTTCTAGGAGTTGGGTAGAGGAGATTCTTCCTGATACAACCTTCTCTAGCTTTGAATTTGGCCCTGCACTCATCTAGACATTGCATTCAAGCCCCACAGCAGCCCTGTCCCATCCAAATATCTCTGTAGGAACAGATACCTTATTAAGTTTCAAATTATCTGGAAGGGAGCAGAAAATGAGATAAACTGAGCAAAATTTTTCCTGCTCTCCATAGAGTCATTTGGTTTAGCCACCATCTCTTATCCCACTAATTCCCTGAAGATTTTGCATCCCCCAAGCTGAGAGCACAGGGAAGGGACCATGGGAGCTGCTCATGCCTCCCAGGGCACCTGGACAGTGTTATGACTTCCCAGCCAAGAAGTTTGAATAACACAAAAGTCAACCACAATTCTAAGTATACCAATACATCCTCTGATTCCTGAGATGAATAAAAACCTGGTGTTGAGGGGGAGCTAATATAGCATCGTGGAAGCAAGGGAAAACCCAAATGTTAAGAGGGATTGAGAGTCAAAACACTACCAAAAATGTATAAAACTTTATTTTCTGAAGACATTAAACTATTGTGCGCAGCACATACATATAAAAATAGAAGCAATTTCACAAACAATTGATTGGACAGTGTTTCTTGCAAATTTACAGTCTCAATTGTGAGTCCATATTGAGTCAGAATATGAGGTATATTTTAGTGAAAAAAATAATCTGAGAACTTTGGCACCATTTTACTGTGCAAAATAAACTCTTGGAATTGAAACAGATAGTGAGGTATACAAATATTACTCTGCTTTTCCACTGTGTGTGTGTCTCTGCATGTTTGGGAAGAATACATTTATTTAAGGACATGATTCAGTTCCAGTCAAGTCTGCTTTCTAACAGGGGTGGGTTAAATCTTAAATTATTATGGAAGAAGAAACCTTGAATACAGGTATCAACTCCACAGAAGCATCCCATGTGCATAACAAATACTATGGGCATGACAGGCTGGTGTGGGGCACTCACAGCAATGCTTTCAGAGCTTGGAGCCCATGTCATGATCCCATGCACACTGAGATGAAATATGCTTTGAAGTTCCTAATTTGGCCCAGATTTGGGAAATCCCTTTCCTTTCATGAGTTGGTTTTTTTTCTCTGCATAGTCACATATCTATGAGACTATTTTTTCAAAGAAGGTTCTGTGTAAGAGTTTGCCAATGTTTGTGTTCTCTCCACAGCCTCTGTATCATGTACATTCGGATTACAAACGGTTTGGTTTGTGCCAGCTCAACAAATTTATCCTGAGGTGTGCAAAAGGAAGAGTTGGCATCCTAAATCCTCCTTCTCCCACACAAGTGATAACAACCTGAGAGAAGGAGGAAGTGGAATTTAGCTAACCAAACATGAGGCAGAACAGAATCAGGCCATTTCTCACTAAGTTGTGTAACTTCTTGAAGTGCCACAGTGCATTCTGCTACCATGAACAGTCCCTAGACTACGTGCAGAGTGTGTCAACACGTGCCTCAGCTCAGTTATTTAAGAAGCATCTCTGTCAAAGTATCATATCCAACTGCTCTAAAACTCCACAACGCTTCAGTTCTGCATGGTTTGTGCTGGAGAGGCTTCTTCCCACAGTTATCATATCATATTAGTCAGGATTCCTGGCACTGGGAGACCTTTTTTAATTTCAGCATTGACTTCAGTGTTGATCTGTCTGGGATTGATGTATACTAAGGAAAAAGGCAGTGGTGTAAAGAGTAACTCAGCAGAGTGACTGATAGAGCTTTCCAAATGCCCACCAAAACTGCATCCACAAGGGTCTGCAGCTCATAAGAACAATCTCAGCCCAGCAGGCTGTGCCTAAACAGATTTATAGAATCACTGAATCATTTATGTTGGAAAAGACCTACAAGGTCATCCAACCTTTGATCCCCACCTTGCCAACTTGCACTAAACCGTAGCACTAAGAGCCACATCCAGTTGTTTCTTGAACACCTCCAGGGATGGTGACTCCACCACTTCCTTGGGCAGCCTTTTCCAATGCCTGACAATCCTTTCAGTGGAGAAATTCTTCCTGATGTCCAACCTGAACCTCCTCAGGTGCAGATTGAGGCCTTTTCCTCTTGTCCTGACTTCTTGTGGCGTGGTCAATGGTTTGTTCTCACCTTGACCAGTGTGTGCAAAATGGAGCCACTGAGCCTGATTGTCACCTTTTGTATCAGCTATCCCATTGCTGATCAGTACTGGCAACAATAACTTTGTCTAGGCTGCACTGGTTTAAGAGGGAACAGACTTCATCCTACCCTAAGGACACTGGTTTAAGCTGTAATCAGAAACAAACTTGTGTGTCAGCATTCAAACTGTGTTTCCTCCTACTTCCATGTTCCCTTCCATCCTTCTTCAAACTTAATTTCAAAGACAATTAGGAATATAAGATCAGGATCCAGGTTGTCAGCTAATGTATTTCAGCACAGCTGTATTTGCCCCATCTGTACCTCTAGGAACACTAGGTCAATGTAGCTGTCTGATACCCTCCAAACCTTTCCCTGACCCACTTTCTCCACTCAAAACATCCTGATTTTTCACTTAAAATACACATTTTTTTCCAAAGCAAACTGCTGCACACGTTTTGGATGAACAGGGTGTCAGCTTGGCTTCTTTCTACATACTGCAAGACCAGAAAATGAAGAGTAAATTCTTTCCTTCCAAAGCATCATTCCAAGTGTCCCATTCATGTACTGTAAGCAGCATTCCACTCTTTTTTCTCTTCATTTACACTGTGATCACCACTTACATTTGAGCCAAATAAATTCAAGTATAAATCACACAGAAGATGCCAGGAAACTGTATCTTGTTAACTAAACAATTGTCTTGACAACTTTTCAGAAATTGTGGCTGTAGGTACAACCTTGTAGGTATGTTCTTTGGGGCCAGATCTTCTGCAGCTATTAACTGATAGTCTTACTAGGCTGATTTACCCCAACTGAGGATCTGGCCCTGACAGTGTTTTTCATGCATGTCAGGAGGCTCAAATTCATCATGAATAGACACCCCCTGCAAATAGAATGGCATGTCAAGGCTGGACATAGCCACATTTTGGCTGGACGTGGGAGATAATCTTGCACTCAGATATTCACTTCTGTAGCAACATGGTCCACCTATGCTGAAAATGCTCATGCTCTGACATTGCATTGAATCTAGTTTCAAATTTAGGAGCACGCCATCAATGCAGGAATCCCAAGGCTTCTGGTAACTGACATTTATAGTGACTATTGACTTAGGGCCTCTTAAAATACTCTTTCAAAGGCACAGAGAATGTAGCTTCACTGGTGATCTGGAAAAAGGTTGTCAAAATAGCAAGGCAAGGTTATGCACCATTTGTACAGCTTCTAGGAGAGCTTTGGAGGGTATTTCATACAGCTTGCTGTGTTGTCTTTGAAACTGATGCTTTGCAAGTGACAGAAATTGGAATCATAGCACGAATTCCTCTGTCCTAACCTGGGAAGTTATGCTTATATAGCCTCCTCCCTTCTCTGTCCTTCATACCTCAGTGAGGTATGATAGAGAAGAACCAAATATACTTAAGGAAGTAAATAGAAAATTCAAAACAGAGAAGTTTTCTAAAATAATCATTTGCTGGAAGCTCCCAGGAATTTCTTACATTTTATAAAACGCATCCCACAGACCAGTCCTGGCTCTTAGAGCTTAACAAGGTTCAGCCAAAATGAAATACAGTGCCTTTAAATATTTATGTTCTTTTACATGTGTACACATATAAAGGCACATGAGCATCTAGAGACTGGGATGATTGATTCATTAAAAGTATGTAATTACATAGATACACACACATCCCATGTCTCTCTCTCTATATATATATACAAGTATTTATATTAAAGATGTACACATCTATATTTGAGGTAAGTCTAAACTAAGCTCACAAAATGCCATTCAAAATCCTCAGCTCCAAATAAGTTTTGCATTTAAGATCCATCTGTGATTTGTCCTGTGGCCTTTCCTAAGGGAAACTGATTGTAGATCTTTGTTTTGCCAACCAGTCCATGTGAGGAGACCTTGGAGAATCCCTTCAGGGACAGAGGGGCTCTTGGAATAGATAGTTTGCTTGTGTAGAAACAGTTGTGGTATTGGCACCTTAGTGATCAAAATAGGCTGAGGACTTTACAGGACAGAACAGTCTGCAGAAGGGGAGGTGCAGGCAGATATTCAGATGGAGTGATGTGCCTGAGGTTGTGAAGCAAAATCAACTGGTGATTTGGCCCATGATATGTAAACAGCTCACTGTGAATGGTTATTATCTGAGGTAAATAATATTATTTAGTAAATAACCTAGGATTGATTAGATGGTTACCCACAGCCATTCTACATCTTCCAAATACTTCCCTTGCACTCCAGCTTGCAATTTTCTCTGTACAGCACCAAAGGAGGCACACAGCCACATCAAATTGGTACAGAGTAGAAGAGAAGCAGCATATTACATATGCCATGTGATGAATCTAGTACAAATATTTTCATCCAAATATACACATACATATATAGATTATTTTTTTTCCCAATGACCAGTATAAATACTTTACCTGGGAGATTATTCCCCATGTGCAAAATGAAACAGTTTTTCCTGGGATTTAGTCTTCTGTTTTGCTGGTTTTCATATTCTTGGTAGGAAGTGGGTCACTGTCATGGCAGGAGAAACTTTATTTCCTCTCTTCACTCTCCCATGTTTGCTGAGGGCTATGTAGGCCCCATGGTAAGCGTTGGATTCGTACGCGTTGTAGTTGTTGGGCAGCAAAGTTTCCTTGAACTTGCACTCATCTTGGAAAACAGCCTAAAGAATAGCAAGGGGAGGAGGGTGGGACAACAAAGCAGGTACAATGAGTATTTCACAAAACCTTAGGTCATTTTTCTTGCTGGTGTTTTTACAGAAGGGCTGGGTGCAGTGTGCAACAGGTGGTGCCGCAGTGACTGCATCCAACAATAAATCTGCCTGCTCAGTGCTAATTTGGTGTCAGATGGACTCAGATGCCACCTGTCCAGATAATGGGCTGTGTGCATCCTGTCACAGAGCCAGTCAATTCATTACAAAACATGGATTTCTTCGCTTTGTTTGCAAGTAATGATTTCTGCCAGCATCACACCTTCTTGCCCAAATGATCTAACTTTACTTAATATCTTCTCTCTGACAGAAGTCCTGTGAATTATAGAACAATTATATCATGGCTGTCCAAACCTTTTCTTACAAACAGCAGGGTCCAGGAAGAACTGTTTGCTTGAATAAGAGATTTGACTAAGATCTTAGATTAGCAATAAATCTTTTCTTTGTTAAATCATTAGTGATATTTAACTGTACAGCAGGTTCTAAGCTGGGAAAACAGTTTTGGTTTTCTCCATGTCACATCCTGTAAACCCAAGGAGAGGGAATTATGTGGGAAAGGAGGTGCAGGAAACAAATTCAGAGGAAATTAAAAGAGAAAGCAGAATAATTGTCTGACTTCAGATTGTTACCTGAGACATGACCAGTGCTGTTCTATTTGGACATCTGTGTGATAACACCATTCAAATCTTGTACGAGTTTAATTTAAGGCATTGTGTTCTGCAGGGGAAAACACACATCTCTCGCAGCTTTTAAAAGTGTTTTTGAAGATGAACAAAACTGGATTGAAACTGGGGGAAAATATCTCTGAAGAAAAAGCTCTGAAGCCAGACCCTGCCAAGCAAAACAGGTGGATTTGTGGCACTTTTTTAGGTGCTTGTGATCAGACATGATTGGAATAGTATTCCTAGGGTGGAACCTCAAAATGTCCCACTGTCCTTATCTGTGTGAGAATGAATCAGTCAGATTAGTAATGGCCATGGGGCTATGGGTCCTTCACAGCATTTGGTATTTTATGAAGCAACTGCAATGCTTTGTTTAAATTGCAGTTGTTTCAAAGGAAAGGACTTTGCTATTCCTTGACAAAAGAGATGAATCCAGTCAGTGCTGTTCATTACTATGAGATGGGATGCTTTTCCCTATTGCCCAGAGCCAGCCTCTTTCAAAGGTCTGCTTCACATCCTAATCATCACTTTTTCTGCTGAATGTTGAGACTGGAGATGTCTTGCTCACAGCTCAGAGATGAAACTGCTTTTAGATGGCAAATCATCCAGATGAGGATGGTGGTGATGGTGTTTCAGTATGACTTTCATACTATTGCTAATGGCTATTATTGTTTTGCCACCCTTTGCAACTGATCATCAAAATAACCCCAGCCACATATGTTGACCTTGTAGGGCAGACCTCCTATTTCTTCTTCATGGTGTGGTTGTTTTTGGTAAGGGGAAGCATGTGGTGACTATTTTACTAAAGGTAGCTCATAGAAATAGCTCTGATTGTACCTCTCCTACACACAGTGCAATGCAAAAGGGAGTTGACAGGGTTCAGTTCTGCTAGAATGTGTTTGCAGCACTGAGACCTTAGAAGAAACCATCTGATTAATCTGTACTATTTTCCTAGGGTGCTCCCTGTACAGTCTGATTGGAAAGCTTTAAAATACCAGACCTCTAACAGCCACACTGTTTGTTGCACTAAATAACACTGATGACACCAAGCTGGGCAGGCTCACTGTAACTGAAAGCTGTTTTCTCTTCTTGTACTCAGAGATTTCCAGGAGGAAAAAACCCCAGACCCAACCAACCAAACCAAACCAAAACTAAACCAAACAAAACCACTCCAAAACGTTTGTAGCTTTTGTTTAAACATTAAAAAAATATTTGAACTTGCACTCACCGTCCCATATAACCTCCCCTTGTTGTTCATTGCAATGAACAGAGCACTTTTCACACCAAGCAGGCTAACAACACCTCTCTCTACAGTGGATATTTCAAAGAGACCTGAAAAATAAAACATCCAGTAGAAGTGTTATCACAGAATCCAGAGCTAATCAAAGGCAATTCACACATAACTTATTCATTTTAAAGCCCTAATGAACTTGTCTTATTCTCTTTATTCTTTTTTAGAATTATCTCTCTGGCCCAGCAAAATTGATATACACAGAGAAGATCTTGGGTTTTGCTGCAGACCACAGGATTTGAAAATAATTACACTGGAATCATAGTGGCAATGCTGTATAACCTTTTTGCTCTATCAGACTCTTTTGAGCTGTCAAACTCTTAGGCTTTCTAATAAGTAAATTATTTTCCTCTAATGTGCTGGACTTACAGAAGGTTTTGGTTTTATTGAGCTTTAGAGAAGTGTGGCTTGCATTTTGAAGTCCCCACATGATATCTTAACTGCAAAACATTTTAGCAGGTGCCCTCTACAGGAAATTCAAATCCATATGACTAATGCTTTGCTTTATTGCTACAGTAACAGAACAGCACCTGTAAGAACGAGCAAACCAGGAACAGCAAAGCCCCTTCCATGACTGAGTGTCCCAGAAGTTCCAATCAGCTAGGACTCAAAAATCATGCCTTGGCACTCTGAACTCAGCAAAAACCTCCCAGATTCAAAAGGCAAATGAGAATGTGAGGAGCGAGAAAATGTAGCAGAGAGTCAGTTTTCAACCTGGTTTGTCTTTTCTCATCCGTGCAGTAAAGCAGAGTAAAAATAAATTCTATCTAAATATGTCTAAGCATTTGTGCCACGTTTCGGCCCGAAGAGTTCACACGTTTATTGATCCCAGAGACTTTTAAAAGGCAACAGATGTAGCACAGATTAATAATATCAAGTAATAACATTTGCATTCTCTGAAGGGTAATTACTAGAGTTCACAGCAATTACGTGACATCTATTCTATTTCATTTCTGGATGCAACTCACTGTATTGGTTTTCATTGTGAACTCCGCTTATCCTTCCGTCTGGGAGGATTTGAAGGTGAAACCCGATGCCCACGTTGCAGTAAAGCCTTCGCTGCCTCTTGATTCCTAGCAAATAGTCACTCTCCCAGTTCACATCTGACTTCTCCCCTGACATCCCAGCAATGGACCTGGACAACAGAGATTGCCATCCTCTTTCCAGCAATGTGCCATTAGTTCTGCTTACAACTGGATGTGTCGAAGCAATCCCAGCTAGAAAGCCCAGGAGAAGGAAAGCAGGCAGCGTCCGGTGAGCGCTGGCGTCGCAGGACATAGTGATGAGAAGTCTTTGTGCCGTGGCCATCCGGTTCACCTCCTGGGCACGTGGTCAGAATTAATGGCCCTAAAAATACCGCCCTTCTTGTTTTTCTCCTTTCAGCATGGTGGCAGAGGCTTATTTTTGGAAAGCAAATAGAGATTGCTGACCTGAAACTAAAGCCTGATAGCAGTTGGGTTGGAAGCAGAGACAGGCCAGCAGGACTCGAACTGGTGGGGACCATGTTTTGTAGATCCTGCTCTCCAGTGGGCAGCCTCAGTTATATTTGATTGCCCCATCTTTATAGTGCAGAGGCTGTCCCTCCCCACATCATCACTCTGACATCAACAGCTTGCCAAAGGTAAGCCTGCCACGGCTGTAACACTAACCTGCCATCCTCCCTGGCTGGCTGAGGGCTATGAATGCTGTCACCCAAGACTGGAGGCAGCACTGGGATCTCATTGGCTGTGGGAAGCAAAGGAGTCAAATTGGTCGGGTAGGCAGAGGCCTCACAGGCAGCTTCCTTATTTAGAGAAGAAGGTGTAAAAACAGTTATGGACCTCATCAGTGAGCAATGAGAGGTTTGCAGTCACTTCCTTGGTGGCACAATTGCTGGGTGCTCCTCGGGGCACCTCAGTCTTTGGGAGAAGTGGCTTGAAGTGGTCACTGCTCTTTTTGTGCATACCCAGCAGATCCGAGGCATCTCTGACCAGGTGATCCGTGCACTAATGCTCTGTCTGGACCTCCAAAAGGAGTGCTCCTGGCTGGTTAACAGCGAGGTAAGCCATGCTGAAGGGAGAGGAAGCCCCTGGGCTTGCTCCTGCTGGTTTTATTGCAGCGGCGATTCTGCTGAGCAGGACACGCAGGCTGGAGCACTGATCCTGCAGTGACACGTGGCTGGGGACCTCAAGTGTTCATGTTTTTCACTGAGGTGACTTCCAAGAGATCACATTTATTTGGGGAGGGTCTGTGCCTCCTGCGGGGTGCTATTGCATTTGTATGTGCAAAACAAGGGCATAGGTAAAGCATTAAAGTAGAGGGGAAAGGGAAAGGTCCCTCCCTACTGTTTCACTGTCTCCGTTCCTCAAGCCAATATTCACCTTTTAAAAAAATAATATATGACCATCTGAATTTGCCTCTTCTTCCATTTTCTCAGGCTATCTACCTCGTTTCCCCTCATTTTGCACTGATGCTGTTTTAGCTTCTTTGGAGCTGAACAGATCAGACTTTTATCTTAATGAGTTTCACAGGACTTAGCAAGACATTAGCTGGAAGAAAACAGCTGAGATTTATGCAAATATTTTTGCTGTTGTCTGTCAGCCTTTTTGCAGTACAGGACTTGTATCTCCTCTGCCATTTGAGGTGCCTGAGTGTTAGTGAGGAGAGTACCTGGAAGTAGGACTTGTATCTCCTCTGCCATTTGAGATGCCTGAATGTTAGTGAGGAGAGTACCTGGAAGCGTAATTGAACTGAGCACACGCAGCGTGACAGAGTTTCACATTAGCAGAGGTGTAATACGAGGCCTGAGACACTGCAGACTCCTCAGCACAAGCCCCAAAAGTGAAGAGGAGACCATGGTAGCCCTGAGGCAGGTGAGCAATTAGATTCAGTGACATATGGAGAGAGCAGCTCAGCTATAAAATTATTGGGAACCACTAAACCCTTGCTTGTGCCACGTGAACTTTCAAAGCCTCTGCGCCTTTGCTGAAGCAGCACTTGGAATATCACAGAATATCCTGAGTTAGAAAGGACACACTGGGATCACACAAGTTCCACTCCAGGCCCTGCACAGGACAGCCCCAAAAATCACACCATGTGCCTGAGAGGATCGTCCAAACACTCCTTGAACTCTCTCAGACCTGGGACCATGACCAAAGGAAGCATATCTTCTGCCTTTTGCTTGCAAACAAAATCTTCAGTCCCCTTTCTCTCCTGCCTTCTACTTCATCACATGATTTTTCATCTATGCAAAGTGCTTAGACAATTTTTAGGAAGGAATAATAGTCATATTTTACCCCCACTTAGCATAGCCACAGTCTTTATGAGAGACTAGTGGGAAAAAAAGCCCAGGGTCACTGTTTTAAGCACAGAGCACTGTTTTCCTAGGTTCTCTGATGCTGCAGTCTGAAGACCTGCCCATTCCCAATGCATGTGACTCCTGGAAACATTGCCTAATCTCAGAACCATCACTGTCTGCAAGATATACAATGCAATATTTCCTTTCCAGTTTATTTCCCCCCTCCTATGGAATATTTCAAGTCTAATTGGTGCAGAGCTGGATTTCTGTCATCAGCTTTGCATCTTTATGTCTCACTCATCAGGTTTCTCATAGCCAAGACAAGCCATGGGCTAAATGAGCTTCTCAAACTTGTGCTAGCACATCTGCCACTGCAGAATCCCTGCAAGCTATTCAGATGGTCCAAGCCAAAGGGGCACTTTGTGGAATGCATCGTGTCTCAGCTCAGTACCATTGATCCTAGAATGACTATCCAGTGGTAGCAACAGCAAAAAAAAGAGATAAATTCAGACAACTCTACAGGATGCACTGCTTTGTCTCTTAGTCAGCCCAGCTGGAAAGTGACTGCTGAGAGCTGTGGTGGAGTA